AAGTGGAGGAGTTTTTGCTTTGGGAAGAAAGAAAAGTAACTAAAGCTATGAAACTTGGTTAGACTCGTCATTTGGAGCTTGAAGAAAAGGTATTTAATATGATGCGTACTAATTATTTCTACCTTACTAAAATCTTAGCATCATTGTGATCCATGTCTACTCGGAGTTAGTTTCGCTGTCTTCAAGGAGGCTAAGTATCTTGGAGTGATGGGAAATGGGTACGTTTGGATTGCTACGGATTGGCTGTCTACTACACTTGATTCTTCGTCTCCACTTCCTACTGAGAGACTTGAAACCATTCAAGGTGTTCTTGTTCTGCGTCTGCACACGCCTGATTCGGATAGAGTTTTTCTCGAGATGGCATAAGATTACTGGTGCTCCTTTGGCTCTACACACGTATGGCCTCTATGCTTATGACTCGGTTATGCTGTTAGCTCGTGGTTTAGATAAGTACTTCAAAGATGGTGGGAAGATATCGTTTTCTAATGACTCAATGCTTGATGCTTTGGGGAAAAGTGGAAGTCTCAACTTAGAAGTCTCAGTCGGCGTGCCTCATCGCGTAAGTTACGAGGAGTTTGTCTCGCAGATTCGTGGAACTGAGAATATGTTCAAAGGGTTCTGCATTGATGTATTCACAGCTGCTGTGAATCTCTTACCGTATGCAGTCCCTGTCAAGTTTAATCCTAGCTACACGCATATGCCAGAGATGATAACAAGTGGTGTGAGTGCATATTACGTTATTTTTCTGATAATTCTCTGTTATCATTTCTGCTTACTATTGAAAATGGAATCACTGCGGAATTTTGATGGTGTAGTGGGTGACGTTGCCATCGTAACAAACCGGACAAAGATTGTAGACTTTACACAACCGTATGCAGCATCTAGACTAGTTGCTGTTGCCCCTAAGAATTTAGAAAAGCTTCCTAAATTTTTTTTGATCAACTAGTAATTAACATACAATTTAGGATGGTCTTCCTACATTCGTGTGAATCTTTCCTAAGAATTCAAGAAAGCTTCATAAATTCTAAAACTTAACATTTATAGATATCTTTAAATACTCATACACATGTTAGTAAAGATATTTCTAAAATTTTATAATGTTTTTCTCAATTTTTAAGAATGTCTTTTTAAAACCATATAAACTATTTAAAAATCTCAGGAAAGCCTTTCCAAATAATTTAGAAAAGCTTCCTAAATTTTTCACTTAATCAACTAGTAATTAACATTCAATTTAGAATGGTCATCCTAAGCTTCATAAAAATACTCATACACATTTTAGTAAGATGTTCCGAAAAGCTTATATTGTATGAATCTTTCTAAATATTCAAGAAAGCTTCATAAATTCAAAAACTAAATCATTTTTAGTTATCTAAAAATAGTCATACACATTTTAGTAAGATCTTTCTTTTTTAGTAAGATCTTTCTAAAAATTTATAATGTCTTTCTCAATCTTTAATAATGTCTTTTAAAAAAAATAAAATTTGTATAGAAAAGAATTCAGGAAAGCCTTTCCTAAGAAATTAGAAAAGCTTCCAAATTTTTTTTTGATCAACTAGTAATTAACATAAAATTTAGGATGGTCTTCCTAAATTCGTGTGAATCTTTCCTAAGAATTCAAGAAAGCTTCATAAATTCTAAAACTTAACATTTATAGATATCTTAAAATACTCATACACATGCTAGTAAGATCTTTCTAAAAGTTTATAATTTCTTTCTCAATTTTTAAGAATGTCTTTTTAAAACCATATAAACTATTTAAAAATTTCAGGAAAGCCTTTCCAAATAATTTAGCAAAGCTTCCTGAATTTTCTTCTTGATCAACTAGTAGTTAACATTCAATTTATGATGGTCATCCTAAGCATCATAAAAATACTCATACACATTTTAGTAAGATGTTCCGAAAAGCTTATATTGTCTTTCTCAGTCTTTAAGAATGTCTTTTTAAACAATAGAATTTCTTTAAAAAATTCAGAGAAGCCTTTTCTGAGAATTTGAAAATGTTTCCTAAATTTGTTTTGGGCAACTAATAATTTACATACAATTTAAAATGGTCTTCCTAAATTCGTGTGAATCTTTCCTAAACGTTTAAGAAAGCTTCATAAATTATATAACTTAATATTTCTAGATATCTTAAAATACTCATACACATTTTAGTAAGATTTTTCTATAAGTTTATAGTGTCTTTCTCAATCTTTAAGAATGTCTTTTTAAAACAACAAAAATTTTTTTAAAAAATTTAGGAAAGCCTAACCTAAAAGTTTTAGAAAAACTTCCTAAATTTGTATGAATCTTTCTAAAAATTCAAGAAAGCTTCATAAATTCAAAAACTATATCATTTTTAGTTATCTAAAAATAGTCATACACATTTTAGTACAATCTTTCTAAAAGTTTATAATGCCTTTCTCAATCTTTAATAATGTCTTTTTAAAACAATAGAATTTATTTTTCAAAAAAAATTCAGGAAAACCTTTCCCGAGAATTTAGAAAAGCTTCCTAAATTTTTTTGATCAACTAGTATTTAACATAAATTTAGGATGGTCTTCCAAAATTCGTGTGAATCTTTCCTAAGAATTCAAGAAAGCTTCATAAATTCTAAAACTTAACATTTATAGATATCTTAAAATACTCATACACATGTTAGCAAGATCTTTCGAAAAGTTTATTGGGAAAATTTCACTTATACCACTTTGGTGATACCAATTTTCATTTCTACCATCAACAAATGAACATTTTCAAAAATACACTTTTAATTAAAGGATAAAAGACTCTTATACCCTTGTTCTTTATATATAAAATAAATATTTAAATAAAAAAAAACACAAAAAACAAATTTTTTTTCTTTTTTCGAATTACACTATTTTGAAATTCAAACCCTAAACCCTAAACTCTAAACCCTAAACCCTAAACCATAAACCCTAAATTCTGAACCCTAAACCCTAAATTTTAAACCCTAAAATTATAAACCCTAAACCCTAAATTCTATACCCTAAACCCAAAATTCAAAATCTTAAACCCTAAATTATAAACCCTAAACCCTAAACCTTAAATTCTAAACCCTAAACCCTATACCCTAAATTCGAAATCTTAAACACTAAATTCTAAACCATAAACCCTAAATTATAAATCCTAAACCCTAAATTCTATACCCTAAACCCTAAATTCGAAATCTTAAACCCTAAATTCTAAACCCTAAATTCAAAATCTTAAACCCTAAATTATAAACTCTAAACCCTAATCCATCAAAACCTTATTAAAATTGTTAAGTTTATTAGTTAAGAGTATAATAGTATTTTGCCTATTAAAATTTTAATGGTAAAGTTGGTTAGTGTAAAATTGAAAAGTGGTATCTTGAAAGTGTTATTTCTGGCAATTTTCCCAAGTTTATAATGTCTTTCTCAATTTTTAAGAATGTCTTTTTAAAACCATATAAACTAGGGAAATTACTTAGAATTACATACATTTTTTCAGTATTGACTAGAATAACAGAACAAAAAAAAGAAAGAAGAAAAATGTGAGCAAAATACTGAAATGCCCAAGGAGAAGTTATCTCTAGACCAAGTAGAAGCTTTGTGTTAGAAAATACAAAAAAAAATTAATGAAAGACTCTATTCCAAAGAGAAGCTTTAGTTTAGGGAAAAAAGATAAACGATAAAAAAACTCCCCCCACGCCTCATCTCTTCTTCCCCGACAACTCCCCCCACGACACATGAACCCTAAATCCCCAAATATCAAAATCTTCAAACTCTCCATTCTCTGTTTTTCATCATGATTTCTCGTCGATTCAGTGATTCCCGCACCCTATTCTACCACTAACACATTTGATTCACATAGGAGAAGTGAATCCGAAACCCCATCAAAGAACTCGTTGAATCTCAAGCCTTTCATCACTTATTCTCGTTGATTTCGATACTCTTACAAGTTCATTTCCACTCTAGTTAGTTTAATCACCTATTTGTGCCATCAAAGGTTAGTCTTAGATTATTTTGAGCACAATCGCTTTTTTTTTTTTTTGAGTTCAACCAATTCGATTATTTTTTAAAACAGTTGGTATAAGTGTTTTTGCCTGTACATATGTTGATATCAGTTTGGGTATAATTGAATTTGCTATAAAAATTATCAGACTCTTTTGCATGTTTCTGGAAAAATCAAATTTCATATTTCTTACTACATTGTGCAATTTTGACAGAGAGATGAATGCATCCAACTGCCCAAAAACATATCCACCAAGACTTTACGAAGAGGGGAAATGCCCATTGCAATATCGAAGCATGAATCATAATTGTCACTTGGCTAGTTTGCAGATGGTGGAGGAATCAGTTGGCCTAGATGCGTGGGAATCCATTAAAGAGTCAGCTGTTGGAGTTATTCTGAAGTTGAAAGAGCTGGATTATATTTGGTCAGCCCAAGTTGTTCACCATTTACTGACAAACCAGCTGGTAGTCGATAATATCCATGAGATATGGTTTTTAATAGAAGATCGGCCACTTAGATTTTCGTTACATGAGTATGGTGAAATAACAGGTTTGAATTGTGAGCCTTTCAACATACATGATAAGGTGGAAGTTGATCATAAGCCATTTTTGGAAGAGATGGGTGTGTCTCCTTCACACGATGCTATCTGAGTTGAGATTATTGTTCCCTCACATTAGGAATTGGTCGTTTGAGAAGAGAAGAATGATTGGCTTACTATGTGTCTTATCAGTTGGAGTACTTGGCATATCTCCAGGCAGTAGAATTCCGTTGGAAGAAGCAAAGAGAGTATTAGACACATAAGCATTTGAAAGATATCCTTGGGGGCGCGTCGGATTTTCCAGCCTGGATAATTCGGTTAAACTAGTTTCATATGAAGAAAAGAAGAAACATACACTTCGTGGATGCGTACACGCTCTTCTCATCTGGGTGTATGAGTCAATACCTGGTATTGGTCATGAATATGGGAACCACATTGAGGGTAACCAAGTTCCTCTTCTCTCTTGGTCTGGATCACGCCCTCGTATACCATGAGATCAATTTTACAAAAAAGAGAAAAAACTCCACCAGAAGGTTAGTAGTTTGTAGTATAAATTTATTAAGCGTTTCACTTATAATTTATACTAATATTTAGTATTTGCTTGGTAGGTACGTGTCAGACACCTCATTGTGAATCCAGAACCCGACATATATCCTCAATGGGATGACGACAAGGTTGATGATGCTCTTCACAATTTGATTACAGACATTCTACATGGGACTCTCGATGATACGTATTGGTCCATGAAAGCACGTAATGCACCAATAGCAAACAGAGAGAAAAAGAAATTACTGAGAGAAGAAGAAGCATGTATGAAGAAAAAATCTCCAAAAGAGAAGACATATGCTGTGAGTATATTTAGTTTTATTTTTAATTTGTTATGTTGTTACCGAATTTATTTATGGTATTCTTGAAGCCATGTGGAGATGATACATTTCGGCATGACCTAATGGAAATGATGAACACGTTGTCTACAAAGATTGGAAGTATGAATACAATTATTGCTGAGAAGGTGTTGACTGCAGTAGAGACAACCATTGGCGCTAAAATAGATGCTAAACTAGATGCGAGGGTTTGTCAAGCCGAGCTGGTACTTAACAAGAAAATCTCAGATTTAGAAGAAGTGATTGATAAACTTAGAGATTAGAGGCAAGCTACTGCCCCTAAAAATGATGCAAACTTTGTTAACCAAGAAGATAAAGTCAACAGCAATGATCCAGTAAGTAATTTTCTTTTCTTCTTAATATGTCTAATTAAAATTAAATAATTTACTAATTAACTTGTTATTGTTTTTTATGTACTCAAATAGTCATGGTTTGTCCAAGACAAGGCACTAACACCTTTGGATGCGGCAGCTCAGTGTGGGGTTAGAAAGAAAGCCAAAAAACATGAGGTCAAGCAAGATATTGAAAGGTCATTCTCTCCTATTCTACTTGAACGTGAGGGTGAGAAGGTTGTGGAAAAAAAAGCAAGTAAAAAAAGTGTTGGAGGGTTGAAAAAAATAAAGACGGAGAAGATTGAAGTTCCGACGCTTAGAGATACTTCTGCAACATGGTCTAATCCAGAGGAAAAGGAAAGATATGGTAAACTAGGTACCACTTTAGACGAGTTGGCGGCATCCTTGTTAGATGGACATTTGAAGAAACGCAAGCCACAGCTGACAAAGACTCAAGTGTTTCCATATGTCGGGAGCTCAACTGTAAAGAGGATCATAACACGTGATGATGATTCTAAAGCCCACTATGATCCTTTCGATGAAGTTGATGAGCTAAAATTGAAGAAGCTACTGGATTTTCTGGAAAATCATGCGTAAGTGTGAGGATGATATATACTTCTTTGTTCTACATTATTAGTATCACACTTAAGCTGACTTGATCTTGTCTTTTATTCATTCCAGAAATGATGGATACGATGGGACGTCCAGTTCAGAAACTCGCTTCTATAAAAGGCTAATAACGCCAAGAAATAAATGGGAAATATATAATTACGGGTGGATAGCAGATTCTGTAAGTTTCTCATCTTTTCTTGTACCAACTTGAACACAATTTTATTCCACTCATTTATTAGTGCATTCTGAACTTAAACAATTTTCTTCTGACAGCATATGACAGCTGCAATGCTCATGTTCCATAAAAGATCTATGAGGAAACCGTCACCATACTCATCCTCAAGGATAGCATTTCTTGACCAGTGGTTTGTCCAAACGTGGGTCAAAGACTTCAAGACCTATGAACCTAAGACGTGGAAGTTCACAGATTGTTACAAGAGGGCATTCAACGGAAACTACTCAGCAGATTTCACAAACAACAAAAAGTGGCTGACGGATGTGGATACATTGTATCTTTGTCACCTGATTAATGGTGACCATTGGGTGGCTTTAGAAGTCGATCTGTTGAAGCAAATGATCCATGTTTATGACAGCATATCGACAGTTGTCCCGGACATGAAAGATCTTCAAGAAGAGTGTCGTCCTTTCACAAATACGATTCCTTTGTTGCTAAATGAAATGGTTCCAGCAAAGCATAGGAAGAAGAGTTCCCAACAGTTCAAGCTTTCAAGAAATAAAAAGGTCCCCAAGAATGATGAACCTGGTGACTGTAGTGTATACACTCTGAAGTATATAGAGTGTAGGGCGATGGGCTGCGGTTTTGAAGGACTTTCTGACAAAATAACCCCTGCACTGCGTATTAAGCTAGCTGCTGAAATCTTCGATGAGGTCTCAGAGATGTAGGTCTATTTCATGTTGTGAATATATCTTTATTTTCATGTTTATTTTCATATTTAATCTAATTTCATGTCTTGAACGTATCTTTATTTTCATGTTTAATCTAATTTTATGTCTTGAACGTATCTTTATTGTCATCTACTTTCATGTTGTGAACATATAATTTATTTTCATGACTTGAAACACACTGTCTAACGAGTAACATGTAAAAGAGAAACTCATTGTGTAACTAGAAACAAGTGAAACATAAACGAATTAAACAAAGACTCGTTGTCTAACCATAAACATGTAAAAGAGAGACTCATTGTCTAACTAACTAGAAACAAGTGAAACATAGACACATTGTCTAAGTACCATGACATGTTTTACAATTGTGACCAACATGATTACAAATTGAACATTTATGCTCCTTTCTTGGACGTTTCTTTGTCTCACCTTTCTCGAACCAAGACTTGATTCTTGATTTTTTGGGTCTCCCTGGTGGTTGCCGAACCACAGGAGGCAAACAAATAATTTTTGCGACATTATCAGGTACTGATGTTTCAGCATCTTTTGGCATTACTGCAGTGGAGTAAGCGTTGTACATATAGTTTGTACGGTAGTATGGATGACATAGTGAAATAGTTGATAACTTTCTCGCTTCCGCTGCCTCAATTGCATGCACACAAGGTAACTTTTCTAAGTCAAATCTGCGGCAAGAACATCTTCGATCTGTCAAATTCACTATGTGTGTAGATGAGACACCAGTCACCTGATATTGGTGAATATCTATCTTCTGTACGCCTAGCATTTTAGCATATGGTATACGGCCCTATGAAAGTATGTCTGCAATGTTAGATTTGTGTTCATTAAATATGCATGTGCTATAGAAAATCAAGTGTCTTCTCAACTCCACGAGTTAGAGTTGTCTTCATCAAATATGCATCATTTTATCGTGCGGAAAACCAGCGGGTCATCATTTGCCTAATTACTTCTATAAGTCTTACAATCGGTAAACTCCTTGCATTTGAAAGCACTCTGTTAACTGATTCGGCTATGTTTGTCGTAGTTAAATTGTACCTATCACCAGGGAAATGAGCTCGTGCCTATTTTTGTACGCCTGCTTTCTGCAAATAACCATGCAAAGCTGGGTGCAATGATTTGATCTCATCAAATATGGTCTCAAAATCTGAAATCCTGAATGTATTAGCTGCCTTTTTAACCAAGCCAAACAACTCGCGACCTCTAAACTTTAACAAGACATTCTTATACAAGTGGTAAGTGCAAACTCCGCGGCTGGCAGTTAGATACTCCTCGGCAATTGCATTGCCAATTGATTTGTGCCTATCAGAAATAATAGCAAGTCTTTCATCATCTGGTATCACACAACTGAGTTTCTTGAAAACCCACTTCCATGATTCATCATTTTCTGTATCGACTATCGCAAATGCGATTGGAAATATCTGAAAGTTACCGTCTTGTGATGACGCAGTTAGTAGAGTCCCTTTATACTTTTCTTGCAAAAAAGTGCCATCGACCACAATAACCTTCCTCATGAATGGAAATCCCTTGATGCTAGCACGAAATGCAATGAAAAGGTACTTGAATCTGTCGCTAGAATCTACTACAAGGCGAGTGAATGTCCCAGGATTTGCTTTTCTAATCATGTGCAGATACACAGGTAAATCATGGTAGCCACTCTCTGAGGATCCCCTAACCAATTCTCTTGCACATATCAGTGTCCGGTGAGCTTTCCAGTAGCCAATCTATCATGTACGATCGTAAGCAACAATCAGAAAAATATCAATTTTTGAGTATACAAGAAAATGAAACAAACCTTTATTCCAAAGCACATGCTAAGGGACTGCTGCACATGAGTTGGCAAAATGGTCGATGGCACCAATGAATTCAGTGTATAAAGATCCAAGAATCTTTGGTGTTGCTTGTCTGCACCGAGCTGATCTTTCTCTAACTGAACAAGTATGTTCAGAAACATAGCTGCGTACGGTAAAGCGAGGAGTATCACTTGTGGGTGATGCTCTTAACTTCCAACAACAGCCTTGAACCCAACACTTTAGGATTAACAGAGTCGGTGTTGAGTACTCAACATCATAATCGAATTGCTCCACTATCGTCAATATCTTGAGTCGTGTTTTTAATGCAAACTTGGAGTCAAAACTTTGGCCAACAACTATTTTTAGTGAATTCAGCTGTTGCCTAACAAGCGGAGTCACTTCCTTAGCCTTTTTTTATTTAGCCGCTAACCCAATCTTTGGCTTATACATTCTCTTCATCTCTATATCTACTTCTGGAATTGATCCGTAGGCTATAAAGTCCTCATCATCTGATGTTGCACCATCTGAATCATCGCAATAGTCAAACCTTTCTCCGTCAGTGTCTGAGTCTTCATCATGAATATCAGATTGGTTGATCTCTTTCATTGTCTTCATACTGTCTCTAATAGTGACCTCCACACATAGCCAAACTTTGTCATATTTTAGGAGATGGAAGAAACCTTACAGTTGTTGAAAATCCTCAATTTTAACTGGGGATGTGTCAAGAGTTAGCTTCATCACGCTCTTCCTGCTAACCATGTAACTCAGTCTGATATTAATATGTCTCTTATCTAATCCGTATTCATCATAAACCATGTTATTCATATCTTTAAAGCTTGTGTTGTCATTGACTGGAATTACTTTTCTTCCTCTTCTGCTATCAACGTGAAACATCCCCTTATCCTTCTCGAATAACCACTGCCCACAAACGGCTATAACTTCCATCGATTGTTCTTGAGATTAACGTAAAATAGCCACTTGACCAAAAGAATATGTATCTTGGAGAAGAAGAAGTTTTACGGCATAAATCTAGGTTTTAGTAATTAAGGCAAAAGAGATCGTGACTTAGAGGAGATCGAGGCTTGCAGGTATTGGTCGAAATTTTGTTAAATTAGATCAAACCGGATTTAATTATATTTACTTAACCGATTCCTTAGTTAACCAGTTTTAATGAAAAAAGTCTGCTACCAATACCTGCGATTAAAGTCTGCTGTAGATCTATCAAAGTCTGCTATCACATAGTAGTTTACAATCACAAAAAAATCTGCCAACTTATAAAAAGGTTTACAAGATAAATCTACATCTCAGTAAGAATATGCCATCATGTGTGGTAGGCTTGTTTTGAAAGTCTGTGACAGTATATAGTCTGCGAGATTAAGTCTTCGCGAAGGAATAAGTTTGTCATTCTTTAATAAAACATGCTTAGTAAGATAAAAATCTGCCATTAAAAATCTGCCGACGTAAAGAAATCTGTGAACGTAACTAAATCTACCATCATGTGTGGTAGACTTGTTTTGAAAGTCTATGACGATATGATGTTTGCGACACTAAGTCTTCGTCAAAGTTTATGTTTGCCATAGTTTAATAAATCTGCCATAGAATATCGCAGATTTTTTAAAATATACTTTTTTTACTGTTTCATAAAAAAAAAATTGTTAACAAAGGAATTATGGGTATAAAAAATAATCTAATAATTAAAAAAATTGTATGTTATTCTAGTAATAATAACATGATTTGATGTTATTTTAGTAATCTTCCCTATAAACTATTTAAAAATTTCAGGAAAGCCTTTCCAAATAAGTTAGAAAGCTTCCTGAATTTTTTTCTTGATCAACTAGTAATTAACATTCAATTTAGGATGGTCATCCTAAGCTTCATAAAAATACTCATACACATTTTAGTAAGATGTTCCGAAAAGCTTATATTGTCTTTCTCAATCTTTAAGAATGTCTTTTTAAACAATAGAATTTCTTTAAAAAATTCAGAGAAGCCTTTTCTGAGAATTTGAAAATGTTTCCTAAATTTTTTTTGAGCAACTAATAATTTACATACAATTTAGGATGGTCTTCCTAAATTCGTGTGAATCTTTTCTAAACGTTTAAGAAAGCTTCATAAATTATATAACTTAATATTTCTAGATATCTTAAACTACTCATCCACATTTTAGTAAGATTTTTCTAAAAGTTTATAGTGTTTTTCTCAATATTTAAGAATGTATTTTTAAAATAACAGAAAACTTTTTAAAATTTCAGGAAAGCCTAACCTAAAAGTTTA